ATTCTTTTAAATACTTGAACTTGTGTTTTTACATTTTTGGGACTTCGAAACCCCTAAAACTTCTGCTGGGCATTTTTTTTTTAATATCTAAAAGCTCAGCTTTGGAAATTAATCTTGGATGAGTTGGTGAAATCTCTGAAATTTCTACAAACCTTCCAGAATTTCCAAAATGGTAGAAACTGAAAAATATTCTACAATATGTTGAAGTACTCTAGGGATAATCTCTAGAATCCCTAATCATGGAATCTGTAGAATCACGAAAACTTTAAAAGTTCCCGAATATGAATGTTTTACCTCCAAAGTATTTACATTTTCCATAATTCATAAAACAGTACTATTTTTAATGTTATTAACCTTATGTAATTATTATTATCTGAATTATCTTCATTAGATATAAGGCGACAAAATCTATACATATTTTGAAGACAAAAAAATCTAAAATCTTCAGACTATTCCATTTATAGTCGATATTAATATCTTACGAATGCACAACTCCGTTATAATGTTTGAAACCATCTAAATATAACTCCCAAATTTACCAGATCTCTAAAATCTATAAACGTCTCTGAAATTTCTAGAACTGACTTCTGAATTTATAGAACCTCTGCAATTCCGCGAGTCACAAAATTGTAAAACAAGTAGAATTTGTAATTTTTTAAAAACAAATATTCAAAATTTTTAAAATATCTATTTAGATTTATCAAAAACATTCAAATCTGTAAAATTTCCACTTGCAAATATTCACAATTCTCCGTTTCAAAATTTTCACTATATCTAAAAGTTTAAAATTTAGAGAATATATAAAGGACCTTTAAAAATTCCCGGTTTTCTCTAAATATCTCAAAATTCTGCCCACTGTGAAATCTTCAAAATCTCTTGAGCCTCGAAAATGTCGAAAAATTTTGAAAATTCTAATATTCTACAATCTGCAGAATTTTCATGTTGTTAAATTTACTGAATTGTTAGATATCTAAAAGTTCTAGATATATATATAATCTCAAAAATCTGTACGATTCTACAGTCTCTTGAAACGTGTTGAACCGATAAACTTTTTAGAATTTATAGAATTCTTAGTTTAAATTCTCTCAAATGTACAATGGTTTTAAAAACTTGGGAATTTGTATATGTTCACAATCTCGAAATTTGTACGAACTTGTATTTCTACATTTTTAGAACTTCAAAACTTCTAAAAATTCCACTAGACAATTTTTAAAAATATCTAAAAATTCAACTTTCGAAATCTTGGAATGGACTGGAATCTCTGAAATTTCTACAAATCCCACAGAATTTCTGAAATTGTAGAAACTAAAGAATATTCTAGAATATGTTGAAGTCTCTAGAATTTCTAAACTACTTATCCAAAATCTTTAACATCTTTGGGATAATTACAAAAACTTTAAAATTTCCGGAATATGAATGTTTTACCCGCAAAATCTCTACACTTTCCATAATTCATTAAATTATCTTAAAAATTTCTAAAATTTTAGAATTTGTAGATTTTTAGAACCTATAGTTTTTCTGAAGTAACCAAAAATCATGTATTTGAAAAAATAGATTACCTTACAAATAAAAATCCAAATTTAAAATTTGTAAAATCAACTTTAGTCCTTGAAACTTCACATATTTGTAATTGTTGTTATCTGCATTATTATCGCAAACTTTAATTAATATTTACTTGTATTTTTTTTATTTTACGCGAAGTTATTTTAATACCTCTAAATTAAATTCCCAAATTTGGTAGTTCGAATAGATCATTTTTTCAATACCATGCGCATACTTCGAGCTAGACGGAAATGGAAAACTCTATCTTGTATGCTAAAAAGAATAATCGCTGCCACTAGGAAAGCTAAAAAAAATGTTAAATATAATGTTAATATTAAATATACACAACTGATGTTCACTCATCCCCTGCATTCTCTGTACAAACACTAGCCCCTGTTACATTAAAGGAATGACTACTGAAATTATGAAATTTACTATAAACATTTGATTGTTAGGCTAGATAACCTTATTTATGGAAAATTATATAAAGGGAGAGAGCATCTGTTCCGTCCGATGGTCATTGCTGGCCATTACGGCTTAAAACCCTCATAAATAAGCTTATCTATTCTAACAATGAGATGTTTACCAGACTTCATAATTCTATAGTCATTGTTTTGAATCCAAAGCGGCCAACACACACGCACTGAAAAGCTAAAAGGGTTTATAGTAAACAAGATCCAGTATTTTGTCACTTTTTCCATAAAAATTGGTGGAGGTGCCGGGATAGCACCCGAAGAAAAAACCTAAATAAACATGAATGACAACAATAAATATAAATATTTATTATACGAAGACAAATAACACAATTCTTTTACAGTGTGATGTGCTACATCATTCCGCGCTGACGCGAATTTTTCCATTACTTTTAAACTGACTTTCTGATATTGAAAAAGAACTGCTAACGAGACCGCTGAACACAATGTCATCCGTCGTTGCTCACTGATAGAAGAAAAGACAATATTTGCGTAACGTGAGGCATGTCATTGTATGTTTTTCATTTCCATTTCCATTTTACATAAATTTCGGCAGGGGTAAAAAAAAGTCGATTGGAAAAACCAGCAGAATATAAATCATATTATAGGAGTATAAAAAAAATATATTATTTTTTCATAATTTTAAATAATAACCGAAATATATCTATTAACAGCTGCAAAAATTTCTCTGAAAGAACACATTAGCGACGTAATTTGCGGCGAACTTTATTTTGTGCTAATTTTTTCACCCGCTTTTGAAATAACAAAGCACGAAGGCACTTTAATGGGGTAAACAATAGGGAACAGACGTAAAGAGGTTTGATCTAGATATAAGAGGTCGTTATCTGCAACTGTGTAGCAGCGAACATCGAGACAACAAAGAAGTGAAACAGTTGTAACGATTACCTTAGTTTACGATGATGGCTCAGAAATCCTTCAAACAGAGCCAGTGAGCATTTATAATGTAGTTTTTATTATCGCACTTTATACATCGAATGTAATGAGATTCGAGCGATGAATGAGGATGATATTAGGAAACAATGGCATTTTTATTGGTCGTTGCAGTTTTTAGCTCTACCATATTTCGCGTTCGCGCTTGAGTTTTGTTTTTTGATTATGAGTGAAATAATGTGGCATTTGAACTGTTCACGATATTTATTTCCCGAGGGAAAAATTATAAGTATGTCTGACGTAAACATTTTTATTTCTGCACATCATTTATTAGACACTTTAAGTAAGTAGGTAGTGGAACGTGAAATATAGTCGTAACAGTAACGTAAAATTGTTTTCGTAGCTTTTAACAGGGCGACTGACATGTAGCGATAAAGTTTACAACAGTTGCAGTGATAGCATGGTCCATTAAGGGGACACTGGAGGAGGTATAACAATTTTTTCCTTTTTTATATGGTATTTTGAAGGTCCGAACAGCTAGACAAAAATCTTTCCGAGAAAGTCGCCAGAAGTAATTATTATCATTTTCGAGCGATATTTCTAATTTAAATATAACGATGAATTCGATTTCATACAAGTCGTCCGGAAGGATGAATGCTATTGTGCCGGTTATTATGTTAGAAACTGGTAGATTAAGAATACTACAAATTCATTGTAATATTGCGAAACACTTTTACTTTTGACTTCGTGTGGTATATTCTAGTTTAAATTTAGTTTATGGTAAATATATTTGTCGCCATTCTGAGGTCGTTGTATTTCTGTTTCAAATTTAATTATTTAAGATTCTTTGAATCTAAGTTCTTTCCACTTTGTCCGCAAATGTGACAATAAATTTTAAGTGTGTCGTAAACGAGTAAGTAATGAAAAATTTAATTAAACCGCGATATTCATTTCTAAATTGGTAGCGACTATAATCTCGAGTTTATTTTCACCTACAGCAATATTTTTAGCGATCTAATCTACTACTTTTTTATGCAATTCCGAGGTTGTACACAACACGCTTTTTTCAGTATTATTATTTTTAGCATGTTTTTATTAGTGTACGTGGAAATGAGTATTTTGTACCCGTAGCGCATACTAATGAATAAACGGAATAGCAGGTTTTTTTTAGCTTAATTAATGCGGTAAAACGAAATGGACAACGAAAGTGATTTTTAAGTTTTTGCTTAATTTAATTTTTTAATTTAAACTTAAAACCGAACTTTCAAGGTGGTTAAAAATCCCGTCGTTATTAAATGTCGGGAGTAGGAATGAATTTTTAATGGACTTTTTTCTTCGTAAAGTGTAAAATTATTTCGTTTTAAAATTTTTAGCACCTGAAAGCCAGCTACAATTTTATAAAATATTTTAGACTACATTAAACGAGTAAGTAATGAAATGGGTTTTATTATTTTGAGGGACTAAAATAATGCGGGGTGTAGTACATCAAAAAGGAGTTTCTGTCAAAGTGGTGATTTACTCGAGTTGTAAACACGCTGCTGTCGCCAGATTGTTGTAATCTGCTCAAACGACTGCAATTAATTCCAAAATTTGTGGCATCTGCTACCAGATTAATAACCATTATCAAAGTTATTACCGTAACATTCTTAATTATGTCCTGAAAATGAAACATTCAAGGAACAGTTTTAGCTCAGACCACTGAAACATTAAATTTTAGGTAATTTGTCCCGACATAAGTGATTTATCTCCCATTTAGAACCCGTTATCTTAAATTACAAAGTATAGTGGGAGAAGTATTATCACGATCTACGTCGAAACCCTTTTGCGCAGAATATGCAAATAATGAAAATTTAAACGTTCCTATTCTGCGTCGCGTACGTTCTCCATCTGTCCAAATAATAAATGAAATATGGAGAAGAGCTTTCCCACCAATTATTATTTGCCAAAGCTTTCATTAATTAAGCTGGGATCCATTATTCTGTTTGTGCACGAGGCTAATCAATTTAATTGATCCCAGTTATTTTTTAGCTTCGAGGAGCTAAAAAAATATTTGTTTTGTTAATCAATCAATAATTGCTTTTTTTATTTTTTCAGCCAACACCAGCCAATATGCTCATTACGTGTTCAATACTCTGGATCAGGATCACAGCGGACTAATTAGCTTTGAGGTAAAGTGAACTATCCTTTCATGTAGCTTTGTCTGACTGATGTCAAACAGCATAACCTACGACTTTTTGTTTCAAGGTATTTTCGGTACTGGTCGAATTGCGAATAATTTCATGCTAGGTTAACCCAAATTGAATGTGGAGAGCAGCGGTTCTCAAGCCGACAACCAGTGAATCGAATGAATGAACAAGACTATCAGATATATATTTTTATTAATTTAAAAAGACCTGCTGCATATTCTCCTCTTTACCCGGTCTTCACAAAACAACCGTTTGACTAAGCAAGCGTTATCAAATCGTGTTTATATTTTCGGGTTACTATCATCTATCAGGGGACACCGAATAATTCAAGGTACAGGGTGCGGAACACGAAAAATTGAGGACCGCTGGTGTAAATGTATATACGAGGCGCGCTTCGCAGTGAAAAATCAATTTCTGGTCATAATGAATGCATGAAAACGCATTTCGAAATAATGTGTTGTACCGAGCAAGTTAACTGCATCGTAAAACTGCATCCATGCAAACCAATAAAAACGCTATTTTTTGCGAGCGCCGTGGGAGCTGGAATTGTGCGACATTTCAAATTTCATCTGCGTAGTAAGCTCCACATTCTTAGGCTCTCCCTCTAAGCCCGAGGTGTGAGTGCACGGAAACACAATAACAACGAAGACCAGATTTGATGTATAATTCAAGATGCACTCGCTTAGCACTAAATCTGTTTACACAGAATACACAATTTACAATCAGAGATCAACCCACATTATAATTAACTTGAAACCGGAACGTCAGAACACCGATACTTGACTAAAATTAGATCCTTGTGTAGTTACCTTTGTACATAGCTCTGATTAAGAAAGGTACCTAGATACAGAGGTGCGTCTCTCGGCTCCAATTCATCACTCTACGGAAACTGCGGTCGGGGGCGAATTTAAAGAGCTTTGTTTACCTAAATTACAATTGTTCACGCTGCATTACAAAAGCCTTAAGCGATATTGGATCTAGCGCAAGACGTGTATGAAAAGGTATAGGATTCAGGCTTCTGGTTTATTTCAGGCAAGCACACGAAACAAACAGTGAATGCATGTTAAATTACGGCGTGCACGAGCTACAAGTGAGTTTCTTGCAGCTGGCGGTGTCTCGACGTACCACCTACCGATGGGTTATTCATTTTTCTATACGTTTGCGTATGCTATCATTGTGGGTCAATTGTGTCGCGATGGGTCTGATTGTGGTAGCTGAAATCAAATTGCGGGTTATATTTAGCTTTCTATCCACGTTGCGATTTATTTTCAAACTGTATGACAGTTTAACGATTGATTTCTGATTCTGATGCAATAAAAGTTCTTATTTCCAACAGCTTGTTTTTATAGGAATTGCTGATGAAACGCTGATGATTATACCGATGGCGCGAATTTAAACCTGTACAACACAGTATTTTCCCAATAAAATAATATTTATTGTTCCATAAAAAAATCCCATTATGGAACAATGCAAAATCAGGATATAATTGTTGTGGTGCCACTGATATATTCTTGGAACCATAACCGGTTAGCAACGTTCATAAAATTCACAAATTGGAATATGCTGCTTTACGGCATCATCAACAATTTACCGAAATGTGGATCATAAAGAGAAAATGCATGTCAAAATTGAGCGCACTAATACTACCTCGTTGTTAATGGGTGTGATATATAAACTACCAAAAAACATACTTCATGTTATTAACCCGCATCTCTAAACGATCCAACTAATAGGCTGGCGGTCAACCTTCCTCTTATATTGTTAAATATAAAATGTTGTTATACAATTTTATTTTTTTACGAAAATTTAGAAATAGAACGTTAAGCACAAGTACAGAAGTATTTTATTTTATGAAGTTAAGTAGCATTTACTGTTCAAAATTTTAAGATGACGTCATCAAATTGAGGATGCTGGTTAGGGTTTTATCATCTGCGCGGTATTCCTAAACTACATATAAAATTTGCCAATAATCCAGTAGTCTAGTAAATATCGACAGACGACATACACGACTTGGCCTTCCAAAAACAGGACGGAAAATAATTATTATTTAACATCGTCGTAACGTTGCAACGAGACTTTAGTCAAATTTAATACGAAATTGTTATTAGATTTCTACATTCACCTTGGGTTTTTCGTCAAAGCTTTTTTGTTCCTCAATATTATTTTAATTTATGTATAGATACACTAATATTAAACAATTTGTTAATACCAAACAAATTCTTACTAAAAGAAAACTCATTAGACTTTTGTCAATAAATTTATTGAGAACTTCTGGGATCATGTGACTTCAGAAGAATGGCAACAATCGTTCCAGTAGTTTCGGAGATTATCTGTCTGATAACACTCGAAGCAGACGACAGGTAGACGGAAACAGGAGTCCTATTTTTTTTAACTCTATGGGTCATGAAACGTCAAGTAAACATGAAAGTAGCCATTCGCCGAAAGGACCCTATTGCATTTCTTCCTTAGTTTACACTCAAGAAGTAAAAATCGCTTTAAGGTGAAGGGAACTATAAGAGTATCGCTTGGGTCCCTTTCAGTTCTTCTTATGCATATACTAATCATTTAATCAATCATGAATGTAGGAAGTGTCAATTTTTTTTGTATATTTAATAATTTCAAATTATTTTTTCTAACAGAACCAACATTTTGACGAGGTTTGCTCAAAGATTGACGTAATAAAGTTTATTTAAGTTTTATACAATAATGAGCTCTTGTACTTGTGATTTATGAATCCTTTTTGATTTTGATTGGTATTATAATTTTTATTGTTTAATTCGCTCGGGTTCGAATTCAATTCCAGGCATTCCCATTTTTTGTATTCATTAACTCAAGAAGAGTACACCCTATTTTCTCTAAAATTGTAGAATACAGTACCTTATTATTAGTATGACACTGCACCTATTCAAATTGATACATATCCTTATTAAAATGTTGATAACGCTATCACAAAATTTTGTTGTGAAAAACTCACCTGAAACAGGCATAGCAACTTTTTGTTCTATAAAAAATCTAATTTTCAGTTTAGCTGCAATACTAACTAATTTTTGCTTTCAAAGAATTAGGAAAGCTTTCTATTGTGCTGAGTTTATGGTTTTTTAGAATAATAAATTTGTATCAATGGAAAATAAGGTCCTCGGACTCCTTGATAATAATTTGTGTTGTTGTTCTGAGTGACATCTTATTTAGAACTGCTTATACAGGATGACTCAGAACAATTCATGAATGAGTCAGTTCACTGTATTGATCAAATTAAGAACGACCCCCCGTATTTTTTTAAATATACGTATATTTTTTATTTTTTCAATATTTCTTTTGATTTTATAATTTCAATAATTGAAAAATCGAAAAATCGAATAATTAACAACTGGTGAAATTCTTTCTTCAGAGCCAGTAAGAATGAATGATGAAAACGGAATAAGGGTGGGCGGGAGGAGCCCCTTTTTACTTTGTTTTAAATCTTAGATTCTACCGCTTGTTAAAATAAAATTCAATTCACATCTTACACTAAATAAAATAAGTCAGTAAAATGGAGGCAAGAAGTGGGCGGAATTGAGCTTAGGTTTTCCTAAAGAATTTTGTAAGCAAACACTAGCCCCGCCCATCGACCAATTCTTCATTCCAGTGCAAGTACTAGGCCCCGCCCACTCACCCTCAATTTTCTTAAAGGGTATGTGATTCGCCAAAATTAGTTTTATCTTAGCATGTACTTCGCCCGCCCGCCCACCCTCTCTCTTCTTAGGGGGTATGTGATTTGCTAAAATCAGTCCTCTCTTACAAAGTACTAATAAAAAAAAATTGGTCTAAGGAGTTTAGACAGTACTTCCCTCGCTGTCGGAAACGTGACGACTGCATGTTTATTATGTTTTTTTTTTCGCAGTAGATTTCATTATTTTTTTTGAGTCACCCGGCATATGCAAATTCAAAAAATATGAATGGAATGATAAATTACAAGTACAGACTCATCATATTTTGTATATTCTAATTAGGATTTATTCGGCAAACTTTTGAGCTGACGTCATCAGTTTTTTGTAGAAGATAACCAAATATATTTTGACTAAAAATTTATTATGCTCTTTATAACCTTAAAACATTTGCAAGATTTCAAAACATTCGGTTCTGGAGTTTTTGATTAAATCAATAAAATACATTTACCCATTCATTAATTTTTTTAGGTCACCCTGTATATGCAAATCCAAAAACTATGAATGGAATGATAAATCACAAGAAAAGACTCATCATATTTTGTACATTTTAGATAGCATTTATTTACCAAAATTTTGTGGTGCCGTCATAAATGTTTTAGGGGGGATGAGCAAATACATTTTGATCAAAAACTTACCATGCTTATGATAACTTTAAAACACCTTCAAGATTTCAAAGCATTCGGTTTTGTAGTTCCTGAGTAAATCAATAAAATAAATTTACGCATTCATTAATTTTTTTGAGTCACCCTGTATATGCAAATCCAAAAAATATAAATGGAGTGATAAATTACAAGTACAGACTCATAATATTTTGTAGAGTTTAGATAGGATTTATTCGGCAAACTTTCGAGCTGACGTCATCAATTTTTTGGAGGAGATAAGCAAAAATATTTTGACTAAACATTTATTATGCTCTTTATAACTTTAAAATATCTGCAAGATTTCAAAGCATTCGGTTTTGTAGTTCCTGATTAACTCAATAAAATAAATTCACGTATTTATTAATTTTTTTGAGTCACCCTGTATATGGAAATCGAAAAAATTTGAATAGAATGATAAATGACAAGAAGAGACTCATCATAGTTTGTACATTTTATATAGGATTTATTCGGCAAGATTTTGTGGTGACGTCATAAATTTTTTAGGGGGGATGAGCAAATACATTTTGATCAAAACCTTACCATGCTTATGATAACTTTAAAACACCTTCAAGATTTCAAAGCATTTGGTTTTGTAGTTCCTGAGTAAATCAGTAAAATAAATTTACGCATTCAT